TCATCACTCTCTACAACTACTTGAAAGGACACTGTAGAGAGGTTGGTGCTGGTCTCTTCTCACAGGGAATTAGTGACAGAACGAGAGGGAACGGCTTCAAGCTCCAACAGGGGAGGTTTAGATTGAACATTAGGAAGGAATTTTTCACCGAGAGAGTGGTCGGGCATTGGAACAGGCTGCCCAGGGAGGGGGTGGAGTCCCCATCCCTGGCTGTGTTTAAGGGCCGTTTAGATGCAGTGCTGAGGGACATGGTGTAGGGGAGGACTTTGTAGAGTAGGGGAGATGGTTGGACTCGATGATCCCAAGGGTCTCTTCCAACCTAGGTGATTCTATGTTTCTATGATTCTAAAATCTGTCCCCTTTAGCCCCCCCCAACACACACCCTGGCAGCTGTGGCGGTCGGAGGAGAGCTGCAGGCCCGGCCCGCACTCGCAGACGAAGCCGCCCTCGGTGTTGACGCAGAGACCCTCGCAGGCAGCGCTCAGGCACTCGTCGATGTCTGGGAGATGAGAAGAGATGGGAATGGCAGGGATGGGGGGCCACCTTCACCTGGTTGTCCCCCCCCAACATCCCACTGGGACCCTCCCCGCCCCGGCTCACCCGTGCAGCGGATGCCGTTGGCCGTCTCCACCATGGAGAAGCCCAGGGGGCAAACGCGGGCCACCTCTTGGCAACCGCCGTGGTTACAGGAGAGGTCGCAGCCGTACTCCCCGCACGTCCCCGCCGGCTCTGCAAGGCAGGCGAGGGGACCACAGGGCACCGGTGCCACCCCAGAGACCACCCAACGTGGCACCCCCTGCCCTGGGAGCAACCCGGACCCCTACTGGGGATGGGGACCACAGGGCACCGGTGCCACCCCAGAGACCACCCAACGTGGCACCCCCTGCCCTGGGAGCAACCCGGACCCCTACTGGGGATGGGGACCATAGGGCACTGATGCCACCCCAACACCCACCCCACCATGGCACCCCTTGCACCCCCTGCCCTGGGAGCACCCCAGACCCCTGCCAGGGATGAGGACCACAGGGCACAGATGCCACCCCAGAGCCCACCCCACCATAGCACCCCTTGCACACCCTGCCCTGGGAGCACCCTGGACACCTACTGGGGATGGGCACCACAGGGCATTGATGCCACCCCAGAGACCACCCCACCATAGCACCCATTGCACCCCCTGCCCTGGGAGCACCCCGGACACCTACTGGGGACGGGCACCACAGGGCACCGATGCCACCCCAGACCCCCACCAGGGATGAGGACCATCCTGGGGGATGCCACAAGGAGAGGTGACAAGGAGCCTAGAGAAACTGGGGGTGCTGATTTTTGGGGTGCCAGGGAGCGGGTGGGTACCTGGGCAGGTGATGCCCTGCTCTCCATCCGGGCACGAGCAGAGGTTGGGGGCGATGCACAAGCCGCTGCCGCAGCCGAAAGAGCAGAGCGCTGGAGAGACAGGGGACCATCAGGGGGACAAGGACACCTCCCCTGTCCCCCCCTTGCCCCCCTGCACCCCAAAAAACCTGTACTCACGCAGGGTGCACTGCCCACTGCCTGGTGCCAGCATCCAGCCGGGGCAACATCCGCTGCCGAAGCCCGAGAAGCAAACGTGGGGCCCCACACGGCGCCTGGGACACCGACCAGAGGCTGAGGCCACCCTGTCCCGGGTCCCCCAGGACACGGGGCAAAGGTCCTCCCTCACCGTCCTCCACACGGTGAGGACCCCCCTCAGGAACGCCAGGACAAGGGGGACACACCAGGGTGGTCATGACGTGCCCACGGTCACCCCATCCCGGGGTGCACAGCATGGATCAAGGGGGGGAGGCAGGTGTGGGGCAAAGCAGGGTGTGGTGTGACCCCAAAACCAGGTGGGACCGTGTCCCTCCTGACCCCAACACACGGTGACAGTGGAGAAGTGTCCCCCAGGACAGGGGAGCAGGAGGTGGATGTGGGGAGGACAGGGATGGAGGGGTCACACTCCCCTGGTCCCTGGAGGACCAGGACAGGGGGGAAACATCCCCCAGCAGGATGTGGGGAGCAAGACATGAATGTGGGGAGTAGGACACGAATATGGGGAGCAGGACACAGATGTGGGCGTCACGCTCCCCTGGTCCTCCCAGGAGAACATGGGGAGCAGGATATGGATACGGGGAGCAGGACAGGGATGTGGGGGTCACACTCCCCTGGTCCCCCCAGGAGGATGTGGGGAGCAGGACAGGGATACAGAGGTCACAGTCCCTTGTCCCCCCAGAACCAGGTCCCCCAGAAGGTTGTGAGGAGCAGGACAGGGATGTGGGGGTCACAGTCTCTTGTCCCCCCAGAACCAGGTCCCCCAGGAGGTTGTGAGGAGCAGGACAGGGATGTGGGGGTCATGCTCCCCTAATCCCCCTAGCAGGACACAGGGAGCAAGACAGGGATGTGGGGGTCACACTCCCCTGGTCCCCCCAGAACCAGGTCCCGCAGGAGGTTGTGAGGAGCAGGACAGGGATGTGGGGGTCACGCTCCCCTGGTCCCCCCAGAACCAGGTCCCCCAGGAGGATGTGGGGAGCAGGACAGGGATGTGGGGGTCACACTCCCCTGGTCCCCCCAGAACCAGGTCCCCCAGGAGGTTGTGAGGAGCAGGACAGGGATGTGGGGGTCACGCTCCCCTGGTCCCCCCAGAACCAGGTCCCCCAGGAGGATGCGGGGAGCAGGACAGGGATGTGGGGGTCACACTCCCCTGGTCCCCCCAGAACCAGGTCCCCCAGGAGGTTGTGAGGAGCAGGACAGGGATGTGGGGGTCACGCTCCCCTGGTCCCCCCAGAACCAGGTCCCCCAGGAGGATGCGAGGAGCAGGACAGGGATGTGGGGGTCACACTCCCTTGTCCCCCCAGAACCAGGTCCCCCAGGAGGATGCGAGGAGCAGGACAGGAATGTGGGGGTCACACTCCCTTGTCCCCCCAGAACCAGGTCCCCCAGGAGGATGTGGGGAGCAGGACAGGGATAGAGATGTCACAGTCTCTTGTCCCCCCAGAACCAGGTCCCCCAGGAGATTGTGAGGAGCAGGACAGGGATGTGGGGGTCACGCTCCCCTTAATCTCCCCAGCAGGACACGGGGAGCAAGAGACAGATGTGGGGGTCACACTCCCCTGATCCCCCCAGAACCAGGTCCCCCAGGAGGCGGTGAGGAGCAGGACAGGGATGTGGAGGTCACACTCCCCTGGTCCCCAAAGAACCAGGTCCCCCAGGAGGTTGTGAGGAGCAGGACAGGGATGTGGGGGTCACACTCCCCCAATTCTGGCCACCCCGGGGGCAGAAGGAGGGCCCCGTGGGGTGCCAGCCCCTCTGGTGGGGCTGGAAGCCCCAAAAGCAGCCCAGAGGAGGACTGGTGGGAGCCAAGCACCGCACACCACCATCCCCAGGTGTAGCTGGGAGGGAGGAAAAGAGGGGAAGGGGGTGGAAATAAAGAAGAGGGGAAGGGAGGGGGGGGTTAGAAATGTGGCTACCTCTCCACGGCAAAGCTGGCCGGCTTCTTCCTCCCGGGATAGACCCTGCCCTGGCCGCCCGGGAGGAACAGGGACACACAGGCAGCCTGGAAGAACAGCTCCACCAACATGACAGGAGGCTCCGTTTCCTCGGCGGCACAGGGGGCGACTACCGCATGTTGGCCCTTGGCCCTGCTCCTCCTCCTCCTCCTCCTCCTCCTCCTCCTCTTCTTGCCCGGGGAACAATGCGGGGGGTGGAGGGAGGCGAAAACTGGGGGGGCGAGTTAGAGAAGATGTTTGGGGAGGGG